CTTTCAGACTGCTGATAACCACTGACCATGTTGGGAATCTGAAGTGTTGCAATATAACAATGCTTTTTTTTTTTTGCCTGAATGGTTTGTTGCAGATTCAAACCTGACAGATTGTTTTTGTGATTTGCAGGTCAAAAGACATCTGGATGAGCCAGAGCTTTGTTTTTAAGATGTCTTGGTTTCAACGTCTTTTTTTTTTAACATGCAGCAATTATTGTCATTGCTGATTATTTCTTGATTAACTAATTGTTAATTTAGTTCAGTGTTTTATAACCTTTTTGGCTCAGGACTGTTTAAAACAAAGCTTTGTCGTTTTGGGGGACATTCTCCTTCATAAATTATAGAGATTATTAAAGAGATTATAAAGCCCCTTGAGGCAAATTTGAGATTAGTACTTGAAATATGTCTGTACATGATGATCAGTTCACCCAAAGTGTTATGTTTAAACAGTTTCCTAAAGGCCTGAATATGTAAAATTATGCAGTCATTCATAAGAAAAAAACCCCAGATTTTATATTGAAAAAAGAAACATTATTTTGTCCAGTTTGTTTGTTTTTTTTATCTTAAGTAGGGCTCCCTAGGTTAGGAGACACTGTTTTTATTCAATAAATTTCCCCCAAAATGATGTCTTTAGATTACTTGTTTTACGTAACCAAAGTACAAAAAGATATTTAAATTTAACAATGATATATATAAAGCATCCAACTCTCACATTTAAGGAAGTTAAAACCAGCAAATGCCTTCTACAATTAGTCAGTTAATCAAATTGTTTAATTTTTCGGTCAAGTGACCAAATTTTTCAGCACTAGTTAGGACTTGATTAACAGTGAAATAGTCATTCTGTGAAAGCTCAGTAAATAAGCGGGTTTGAACCAAGATGCACGGCTCACAGATAAGCAGATTATGTAGAATTTCACATTTACTCGTGAAAAGGAGGGTTACTACAGGGCAGGAGGGAGTGGCAGGAGAGATAGAATGTAACGTGGAAAAACAGAATAAACAAGCTGGGGTTTTGACACATTCAAATGCTGTTGAAACATCACTGTATATGTAATCACACTGTGAAAAACTAGGTATTTCAACCTGACTTCTTGATGTTTTTTGACCTGACCTTCTTGATGTTTTGGACCTGCAAAATCTGCATAATCAAGAAGAGAAAATTGCTTTGGTGCAAAATGTCTTACTTTGAAACTACATTGAAAACTCCCCCTCGGCTTCTAGTGCACAAATTTGCCTCTTTAGTGCTTTAAATTGACCAAGAAAACTGAGCCACTCCTCTACTGTGTTCAGTGGGAAGCATCAGTGCATTCCAGTTTAAGTTAGCATTTTGTCATTTTTTTGATGTATTGAGTATTACATCCATCTCCTTAAAGGCTGCAGGAGATGCTTGTGTATAAATCACTTTTGTGTTAACCATATATACAGTGTCTGTACATTATGCTGTATATGCCTGTAGCTGGTAGATATCCTGAAAAATAGATTTTATTGTACTTATTATTTACAAGCACTGTATTGAGTCCCCACTCTGATACTGTACAAGCAGCACCCTGTTATGTATTGTTGTATTAGTTAATAACTGCTTTAACTTAGAGCTTTCCATTTGACCAGTGCTCTGCTCACTCCTCCACAGGTCAGCTGATGGGTATGAACGAGATCACGGAGAAGCTAACTCTGGACGTAAAGTGTCGGAACGAACACGCCATTGTCCAGAGGGTGACCACTGCCGCCAACCTCAGCAGAGTCCCCTGTGGTTCAGATAAAGAGTGCAGGTGAGCAGAAAGAAAGATAATAGAAAGTGACAAAAACATGCATCATCGCTTTAAGTAGCAGTTGTGTGTGAAATCCTGTGTATTGTTACACCTTTCATGTTAAAATTTCAGTAAAGCAAGTATGTATAATGTATTTTAATCAATGAATTGTTCATATGTCCATCTCTGTGGTGGAGTAGCATAAAACACACAAACTGGCACAAGGTCTGTGGCTTCAGCAGCTTTAAAAGGTTGGTTCACTCAAATAAAAAAATAAAAAGCAAGTAAAGACATGACTAATGTTGCCTCTCAAGTTTATTTCATGTGATTACCCCAAAATACTTGTTAGACGGAAAGAGAAACATGTCAAGCAAATCCTGAACTGCAGAAACATGTTCTGAGACACCGTTTATTTAGTTCAGAGTGTCTAAATACCAGCAGAGGCCACTGAGAACATTTTCTAGTTTGATGAACCAACCCTTTAGTGCAGCGCCTTCATAAGGCTAACAAGTGAAAGTTGTTTCAGTCAGTTTAGGCATTTCAAACAATTTGACCTTACAGTGCCCCCATCTGGCTAATCACTGCAGTGGTCATGCAAAACACAGCAAGATGTACAGTATCATCTCTCCTTGTTTTGCTACAAATTGACCAGCTGTGTCTTAACATTTGCACTATAATGATAGATAGATAGACTTTATTGTCATTTCCCTGGGTATTTGCATACACAGAAGAAACAAATAGTTTCTCATCAGCCCCCTTTGTAGTGCATCTATCATTATGTCATATGACATAATGTCATTATAGCGCTCCCATTTGGCCAATTAACATCAAACAACACATATTTTTAACACAGGAGAACAATTTGTCTGCAGAACTGAGTGATAGTGAAGTATTAATGTTCACAAGGCAACAAAAACTTCTGCAAACATCTTCACAATCCAGAGATCTGAATAGAATACTTGAGAAGATGCACTTATTTGATTTCAACATTTCACCAAATGATAATAAATATTTTAGTAAATATTTTGATGCACCTGAATCAAGATGTTTAACTAGTTATCACAGTATTAATCTTGTCAAGATTTCCCACCTCTATTTCAAGATGCATTATTCTTTCCTCCATTGTCAAAGCAGGTTTTTCCTTCAACAGTTATAAATTGTGATCTTTATTGATTGTGTGATTCATTAAGTTTATGGTGAGCTGATTTTAACACTAGAACACAGTTTAAATATATTTTAGTAATTTCAGTTTATTCTTAGTGCCAGTAAAAAAATTGTGACAAATGTTTTTGTTGTCTAAATCAAAGACACTTACTTACAGCATCACATGTAGATGTTTAAAAGACTGGTGTTAGGTCATTATTGTGCATAACTGTTCATAAACGTGTCAGACTGTTCGTTATGTTGTTTTTTTATTTGAACCTGCTGATTAACCCACGTGCTTCCCTCCTTTATTCTGTGGCTTCAACTTTACTTTCTGATCTTTGCTGCCTTGACCTCAGTCCTCCTGTTCCTCCTCCTCCTCATCCTGTCCACAGGTTCGCAGGCAGGACAGTGACCAGCGGCAGCTTGGTGCTGGTCACTGTGGCGACCAAAGAGGAAGGAGCCGCCCAGCTGACGGTCAACTGTGAGAAAATGGTGATCGGCACCATGCTGGTGAAGGACATCCTCCTAGCTTTGACACAGTGACGCCTGCCTGCGCTCGACCTTATGCCCCCTCACTCCAACGCGCCTCTCACATATCGTCCGAGACTCATCACACGTGTAGCATCTCCTCCGTTCTCCTGTAAGCAGTGAGGAAGTTTCCAGAATGTTTTATTCCAGTTTGTTGTTTTATTCAAGAGCCCTCTACTTTTAGAAATTATTCCTATATTCCGTGAATGCCACAGCTGTACTGTGCGTGATATTTTTGACAATCAGACATGACTGATGGTCGGACCTGATATTAAATCCCTTTCCCCCTTTCTAAAGTTTCTTATATGCCATTGTTCAAAAACACTTATTTTGCAACAGATTTTCCTTCCTTGAGGAGCAAGGAATTTCATTGACTCCAATTTCTTTAGTTGACAAAAAAAAATGTTTTAAGAGTTAAAAACCTTGAATTTTGTTTTCACAAGGTCCACTTAATGTTTTTGCAGCTTTCAAACACATCTTGTGGCCTTTCTCAGCAGCTGGAGTTCACTTGCTTGTCATGGACTGAGACTGAAATGAAGCACCTTTCGTCATAAGACATAAAAAGGTATTAATACAAGATAATAAAGAATCATGAGACAATATAAAAAGACACATAAATAGGATTTAAACAGCATAAAATGATATAGAAGATAAAAATAAGCCACAGTGTGCTACAATGTGATCTATGATACATATGAAAAGTCCTACATTTTTATGTTATTTTAAGTTTTATACCTTGAAGTCAAAGAACTGAGAGTTGGAATGAACCTCAAGTTTATTCCAGATAATGTGGTGCATAAAAACTGTAAAGACTTTTTAGCTTTGACTCTGGGAACAGTAAGAAGATCTGATAAGTCTGAACGGTTGTCATGACATGACCATACATACATACTCCACCTGCTGAGGAAGGCCATGAGATGCAGTTTCGAAATCACAGTTAGTGAAATGTTGAAAATGTTTCTGTCTAAACACAAGGAGGTCTTTCTATCCCCATAATCTGAGAAAATAAAATATCCACTTTTACCCATAAAATGCAGTTTTGTTAAAATTATTTAGAAATAAGGTGCGTAATTGTGAGTAATTGTTATTCTTTGACAAGTGGATGCACAAATCTGTCACACCAATTAAAATTCTTAGCTTGCTATATTAGCTATCAGACTGTTTTAAGATGTAGATAATATAAGTAATAGATTATATACTGAAGGCATAAACTCCTCCAAAAAGCACGTCACCACAAAAACACAAACTGTAATGTGTAATCAATTCTCATCCAGTTATTTGACATTTGTTTTTACTTGAATGTAGCATGAAGGCTCGACTGAGACAACAACTACCTATAACTCATTCCATTTTGGCACAATAAAAGTTGTTAATCAATAACTTAACACTCCTGGGAATAATGAAATATAAGATCATAAAACTCAAATTCTGCGGTTTTAGCATTTGCCTAGCTGTCATGTTTGGATGTATAAATGTTATTGTATGTATTGCAACATGTAATACAGTACTACTATAAGTAAAGTGTGGGTGTGTGTGAGTGTGTTTGATGATGGCGCTGAACATTGACCCGGCAAACATTAACTGGTTGTTTTTCAAAATGGCTCAAAATGACACGTGACTTGAAATCATCATGAAGCACATTATTACCATCAGTCCACTCCCATTCTCTTTGATGACTGATATAAGCTACCTTGGTTAAAACATGATTTGCCTGTCTTATTTATTTGTAGATTCATACATTTGCCTAACAAACCAATTTCTGATGCAATTGTTATTGACAGCAGAATTGCGGATTGTAGAAAAATCTTAAACAAATCTACAGAGAACAACATTTTAGTGGATGTTTAAAGGAGCAGTTATTTGGGATATTACATAATTTTCTTTCTTGCCAAAAATTAGATGAACAGGTCGATACCTGCCCTCATGTCATGTGGGGTGGTGATGGCGCATAGATTGACTTTGGTGTGGGAGACTGTGAGAATCCCACCAGTGTCTGAGCAAGACACCCCTAGTCGCTCCAGAGGCATGTGACCTCTGACATGTATAGCAATTGTAAGTCACTTTGGATAAAAGCATCAGCTAAATGAATAAATGTAAATGTCTCTACCGTAAGCTAGCGTCAGGAAGTGGTTAGCTTATAATAGCTAGTTTTTGTGTCAGAAGAGTGATATCGATCTTCTTATCAAATTTTTGCCAAGACAGTGAAGAAGCATATTTTCCTAAAATGTTAAATCATTAATTTAGGATTAAAATATAGCCAAAGCCTTCCCTTAACACCTCCTGTAAACATAGCTGATACTGACTTAAATTTTTCCATTTAAGTCAATGTAAAGGTAGCATCTAGGCTAAGAGAATACATTATAATACCTATAGATTATAAGTGAATGCTTATGGTAATGTTAAAACATTTTCAAGTTGAGTGTTTCCTCTCATTTGTCAGGCAACACTGTTTTCATGCCTTTTTACTATATTTTGATTTAAGGTCATGTGGCTTCTCTTTTCTTATGGACCCTCGTGTGTTGAGTGGCTGCACGTTTCTTAACTTTAACATATTATCTGTGTATTTATTTAATGTTTCTTTACTGTTGGAAGACGGAACAACTGTGTTTTACCAAAGGAGTACATTATAGTCAAACTTTAGCCCTCCTTGGGGAGAACTGAGCAGCAGCAGTGGACGGTTTTATTTTGGCCTTTTTGTACCTGTTGCATTGTTTAACCACTCACACCTGAAATTTCCAGTCACTTCACGATGAAGAATGTAGAGTAAGAAATCCTACTTTTAATGTAAAAATATACTGAAAAGGAGACTGTTTTTCGATGAAACAGTTCATGTCTGGTAATTTGTTCTATCTGCACCGGCTTTCAAATATCCAAAAGTATGGTTTATCATACTGTGTGTGGTTGTGAAATGTGGTCCTGAAGTATTACAAGTTTATTTATTCTACAAATAAAACATACAGCTACATTGTCATGTGTCTTCTGTCTTATGGCCTGCCAAACAACGGAAAAACACTGGACTGCAGCACTGCTTAATCCCAAATAGTCAGTTGTAATTACTGAAGGAACAATAAACATGTTGAGCTGATAATGCTGACAGTTTGAGTAATGGCAAGAGAAAAAGGAAGTTGTAAACCAGCCTGCTGTAACACATCCATCTGTTCTGTTCTAGCGTTTCTACCGCAACTGTGGCGTCTTTGTAGCATACTGTTGATTCATTGAAAATGTCAACTTTGTACTTAAGTACAAATTTGAGGTACTTGTACTTAGTAATAGTAATTCTATTTTATGCTACTTTATTTAACTACAGTTCAGAGGGAAATAATGTACTTTTTACTCTACAATTTTGCAGCTATAACTGTATAATGCAGGCCACACATTCACAATCTAATGTCATATCAGTCACAAGGGACACTTTACTGCAGAATAAGTACTTTTACTCTTACTTTTACCACATTTAGCTGACAATACTTTTCTACTTTTACTTAAGTAGGTTTTTGAGTACATTACTTTTACTTAAGTAAGGAACCCTGAGTTGTATGAGAGCGTAGGTAATATTACACAACACACACACAGCTGAGATGAACACAAGTAGTTTATTTTAAATAAATTGCTTCACAAAGTATTTTGAAACTTGAAAACAGAATCACTGATGGGAATATGAGCCCATCAGCAATGTGGTCACTCAGGCTGATGTAAAGGTGTGACCAGCAATCTCTTGTCTCCCACAGGAGCGCTAAAGTGGTGTTGTCCGGTTTGAGCAAGAAAATTACAGATTTGGTACACAATGACTCACTTTTGCAGTGAAAATAATTTTCAGTTGCATAGATGTACACATGGTTTGGCGTTTAAAGTACACTTGTGATTTTTATTTTATTTTGAGAACAGACATTTGCTAATATATTGCAATGGCTGTGCAGATCTGTGGGCCTGAAAAACAATCACAACTGTAAGGGTTGTGTAAATTACAAACTAAAACTGACTTTTGCCCTATCTTTAACTAATGGCACACACAAAACTCTTGAGCAACGAGATAATCAGACACGCCACGTAAAAGCCTGAAACATCCTTCGAGATCTTTTTCAGTTAAAGGTGACATAAACAAGAACATTTTTAAAAATGAGTCAGCCCCTAATCCAATCACTAATTATACTCCAGAAACTCAACATCGTGTTCATTACTACTTTTTTTTTTAATTATAAGATAAGATTTTTGTAGAGTTTGGAGACTGGCAAACTTTTTAAAGGTGTCCTCAGTTTGTAGTTTGATTCACTTCTGGTAAGGATTTTAATCCTCACAAGCTCACAATATATACACTGTAGTATATATGTACACATTTCTCTTTCGTCTTACTCACTTTCCTGAATAATAATTCCTGGAAAGTGGTGAGAGCCCACTGTCTTTTCACAATTTCTCTTGTTGGTATTTTAAATGAGGCACCATAAAAGGCACAGAGAGATGACAAGGCACAGGATTCCAAAATCCCCTAGGAGCAGAAAGGGGATATAAAAGCAGCCTCCAGTCTCCTTTCATAAGGATGACTGCTAATCATGTATTAATTTAAATGAATGTTATTTAGAGTCTGAGCCATCAGGTGAGCTCAGTCTGCCTGGTTTGCGGAAGCAGGAGAGACACCAGTCCTCCAGTCAGCAGCAGAGCTGACACCAGCAGGATTGGTACGGCACAGTTTGTGTCCACCAAGTTTCCAAAGACCACGTTACCCGTGATCGCTGCCACTCGGGCCACTCCTGTGAAGAAACCTAGAGCAGAGGACCTGAAAAAAAACAAAAGAAGAAGAACAGGAACACCACATGTGAGCAGCTTTGGGCCTATTTACTAAAAAACAGAGCTAATTAAGTCAATAAAAAAAGAGCAAAAAACACACAACTTCCTCAAAACGGTGAAGAATCCTGCCGATTTATCTGCTGACATAACTTCTACTAAATTTGCAACATGAACTACATAAAAATAAATAAAAAGGAATCATCATATTAGATCAAAGACAAAATTTTGGAAAATTTAACAACCACATTGACAAATCTAAACCGGCATGTGTAAGCCACTTTTTTGGACTCTGCTGAACATGAGTTGAGTTTTAAGAGAAGGTACCGTATATGGGTCGGGTAGAGCTCTGTCCCCACCACATCCAAGGCGTTCCAGGAGATCACTGACACGCCGCTGAAGACACAGGAGAGGGCCAGGCTTTGGGCTTTGGTCTTGACCAAATAGATGAGCATGACGCTCAGACTGGACACCAGCAGGCTGCAAGCTGGAGACAAAAAAAAGGTGGTGAAGAGATTTAGGTTCAGGCATTATTCAAGGTTTCAAGGTGTGAAACTGGCTGGTTTTGTGGATGGACGTTTCTTAGCAGCACTACCTTGTGGTATCTCAAGGTCACAGATTATTTCATATTCTTTTAATTACAGGTGTGGAGGTAACCCAGCGAAAGCAAGCCGTGACAAGGAGAACCTTTGGTATGACTGAACATAAGAACAAAAAGCTGTTTATAGGTATAAGTAATCAAGACTGATGCACAGTGTGGTAAAGCAGTGCTTAAACCTTGATAAAATATTTTTACAAACTATTAAAAGTAATTATTTGTTGTAAAGAATCCCAGCTTCAATTGTGTTTGAGGAGGAAGACTTGAGTCTAACAACAAGACATCTCCTAAATTACACTGAGATACCATTCTATATGACTCACACAGAAGTGCCTTTCCTCCCGTGCTGTCCATCATAAGAATGGTGAAGATGTTTCCAGGTAAGTTGGAGGCAGCAATGACGAAGCCCTCCATATACACTGTCAGGCGAGGAACAGATACAGGAAGGTTAAGTGAGGACAGCATGGCGTTGGAGCCTATCCCAGCATTCAGTAGGGTAGGAAACAATCAGTAATGCTTTATTTTAGAGGTCAGTAATTCTGCTGGGAAGAAGAACATAATTTGGTACTCCTTATAGGTAAAATAAAAGTAAAGCTCAATTTAAACCAATGTATCACCTGCTGTTTTGACTGGGTAGCAGCTTTGGTTGGGGAGTGGAGACAGGAGGGACACGTTGGCACATGGCGAGCCACCGTCCTCAATTCTCTCAAACAGCTCCGGGAACCACATCCACAGCCCATAATAACTACACACACACACATATACACACACAAAAAGATATTTAAGTATTTGGATCACAATAAAGTAAGTTTTATTGTAAAACTACATGCCTAAATTCTACACCGAAACAGCAGCAGGTTGGTATGAAGCCTTACAGACCAGATGGTAAAGATGAACATCTTTTTGAGCAGTTTTTGCAGTTAAGTAACAGGATTTCTGGCTGTTGAAGATAAACTATTTCAAACGGTTATCTGCTGCCTGCTGTGGATTTATCACATCAGCAGTGTTAAAACACACATGATAAAGACAAGCCCTGAACAGAAATATAATGTGTGCAGACAGGAAGATGGGATTTCTTACCCAAATGAAATGCAGTAGAAGACAATGAGCAGCACGATGCTCCTGGATTTGAGCTGACCGTTAAACATTTGTTTAATGGGCACCAAGGCCTGCAAGTCAAAAAAAGGAAATTATTTATAATTACACTGGCATTTAGAAAAGGAAAGAATAAATCAGTAATAAGAAAGAGAATATTGTTATTACAAGGAATAAATAAGAATTAATTTATTTTCTTTATATATATATATATATATATATATATATATATATATATATATATATATATTTTAATGGAGTACTTCACAAGGCTGGATTACCAACTGGGCAAAGTGGGAAACTGCCACAGGCCAAAGATCTCCAGGGCCCCTTTTATTTAAAATATGTTTGGGAAAATGCAGAATAACTGACACCAGGGTTTGAGTTATAATCTAAGCCTCGTGGGGGCCTCTAATATACTACCCAACGTTACCTGTCAAAACTGTGCGCACGATAGTGGCTGATGGTGGAGAAGTGCCGCCATCCTGTCAGTCATACGATGCGCACCGTAGTTCATGACCACACTTTCCTAGTGTTCATTTAAGTTTGTTTATCTTGTTTAATGTAAATAATAGTATGTACTAATCACAATGAAAAATACATCAAAATAATAACTTGATAAATGAATTAGAGACCCCCACAGATGCATGATTTTACTGCTTCCATGGGAGCTCAGACCATCCTTATGGGAGCTAAGCTCCCACTGGCTCCCACGTGACTCAAACTCTGACTGACACTATAAAGGCCTTTAGGCGGGTCCTACCTTATTACTTAATCTTAAAGCTCTGTCTTAAGGACGGTCTCCACGTCAGTTCTAAGACCTTAATTATTTCAGTTTTGTTGTATATTCCTAAATTATCGTGTTGTCAAATAATCACGCAAAACCTAGTAAAGATTAATCAATTACTCAGTCGATAGAAAATAATCAGCAGCCTTTCTGATATTTTTCCAGCTTCTCAAATGTGGCGATAGTGAACTGAAAATGAGTTTTGGATTGCTGTTAGAACAAAACAGGGCATTTTAAGACTTGAATTTGAAATAAAAATATGTTAAATATTTTAAAGTTTACTGACATTTAACAGAAGAAAAAAGAAACAATTAATTGATTAATTAAGAAAATAATCTGAAGATAAGATTTATCGACAATGCAAATAATAGTTAGTTGAAGCCCTATGGTAGAAATACAGCACTGAGAAACTGTACGCACTAAATAGGGAGGGGAAGGACTGGGGATGAAGTTTTGCCCTGGGGCCCCAAAGCAGGTGAATCCATCTATGCTACTTCAGGTACCACAGGGACACATATTGAACGTGATGGACCCTTTGAGTCTATGGAGATGGAGAAGACAAGAATCTCACATCAATATATACAGCAGAGTTAGAAATATGTGCATCTACACATTTCTGCAGCTGTCCTCTGACTCGGACGTCCTCTAAATCATCTCTGTGTAAGTCCAGTAATGTCTTTGTTTGGGTTGGTGACATTACCTTTTTCAAAATACAGCCAAGTGTCTCTCCACGTGAACCCTGAGTTCTGGTCTCCTCTGATTCCCCTCTTTGCTTGGAGCTAGTGCGTAAACCAAATTCCTTCATAGGAGGAGATAGGAGTCATTACGCTTATTATACTGTAGAATGAAGGAAGGAAGTGTTAATAGAACTTGAATAAACCACATAAAAATAATAGAAACCTTTGTTACAAATATCCCTTCTCTTTTGCTTTCACCTTTTGCACCATTTCTTCATTTCCAAGTCCGTAGCGATCTATTTGCAGTTCATATAATTTGTTTTGTCTGTCATTTACATCTCTGTTTTATGCTAAATCTGTATATTTTACTTTACAAGTACATTTTTATCACCGTCTAATTAAGCTAAACACATCACATTTGTATCCAAAACTACAATAATGAATCGTAGAGGCATAAAGAAACATGATTTAGTTCATACCGGGAAATCCTTTCCTTTTCCCCACATGTTCAGCTCAAACATCGCTTTGAAGACATGAATCGCCTCCTTCTCCCGGGCAGCCTGGCAAACACAGGGCACAAAAAAAAATGTCAAAAGGCAGCTCAGCAGAAAAAGCAGCCTGCAAAAACAAGAATTGATCTGGCCTTTAAAATACCTCCATGAGGAACTTGGGGCTTTCGGGCATGAGCAGCCTAAAGAGGAGGGCTGAGGTGAGGCTGGGAACAGAGCACAGGACCACAAACAGTCTCCAGCTCTGGAAGTCTAGTGATCCCAGAGAAAAGCGTGCCCAGGTTCTTGGAATCACCAACCAGGCCAGACCTGCAGACAGAAACACACAGAGAGTCACTCACTATTAAACACATCATTTCAGAATCCAGTGTTTTTAGTTTATTTTGATGCTCTCTCTAAATCTTTGTGTTTGAAGGATGTATCAAAATCATTACAGCAAGAACAAATAGATTGAAGATCGATCCTGGGGTTTCTGCCATCAGATGATTATTATTTACTACAACTCTAAACTGAGAAAGACACCGAACAATTTCTAGATGTGTTTGTTGGGACAAATAATAATAAAAAAAATGAACAGACCTAGTGGAAAAGACTTATACCATATAACTACAATGTCTGTCCCCATCTCAATTCTGTCCTGGGACATCTGTGGAATTTCACACCCCTATCTCTCCCTGTACATCTTGTCTGTATCTCTATAGTCACTATCAAATACAGACAAAATGTCATTTAAATAAAGATAAGAATAAAAAAAGGAAAATGTCTGCAAAGGTTTTTTTTGTGGGGCATTTTTTGCTTTTCAGAACAATTAAGCTTTGGAAAAATAAATGTTGTTTTATCTTGGTCAAAATGATAAATGATAAAATTGTGGCGAGCCAGTACAGTAACAGAATATGGACAGAAACCCCAGTAGCATGCTTCAGCTTTTTAGAACAATCAATGACACAAGCCTTTCTATTAAAAAATGGAACGTACATTGCCTAATTGAGGCTAATGGAAAAGAGGCTAGCATAAAACTTCAGAATGACTCCTCATGATTTGTTAACCCCTTGATGTTCTCCATGACTACTGACAGGTCAGCATGTGACTGAGGTTTTTCATAACACCAATGGTGGCAGCACTTTTATAAAATCATTGTTTTTATCCTGCAACGCTGATGTTGCTTCATTTATGGGAGTCATGCATCTTCCCACCTGCAGCCACGATGTTTCCTGCCATCCAGAAGGTTGCCAGAGCGCTGATCATTGCACCTCTCCTGAGACGGGGCATAAACTCTGAGAAGTAGGAGAAGATAACAGGAATAGACCCGCCGACCCTGCAGAGGGGAAGAAAACAGCTTTTACTCTGGAGCTGTCCGTGATTGTTTACTTACAAGTTCTTAAAAAACGACTCATTTTGGAGGCCTAATGAGGGAACTATGAGTAGCTCAGTGTGCAGCTAAATGACAACATCTAAATTAAAAAACATGCTAATCATGTGCTCACCCGATGCCGCTGATGAACCGCAGCAGCAGGAAGAGCCAGAACCACGGAGCCACGCTGGCTAGACCTCCAAACAGCCCGTTGACTGTCAGGGACACCACCAAGACCCTGCGGCGCCCCCTCCGGTCAGCCAAGTATCCCCACATGTAGCCACCCACCATCATTCCTAGAAAACAGGAAGTAAGACAATAATGTACTTTTTTTTTTTTATTAATAAGATGGTGTTCTGTCCTTTCTCACTGAGCATCTCTTCTTAAATGTCATGAGATGGTCAGCGTGGTAAACATTATACCTGCTTAACATCATTAAGCATTAAGCTCTAAGCACATCTGTGACTAGCATGGCTATAGACTCTTAGTCTTGTTATTTTTATTTTGGTGTTAATTCATCAAGTGCATGGGGTAGTTCAGGCTCCTTTAAAGGTTTTATTGACATTTGGCAACATTTTTAAATTCCAGTTTTAGCCCATCTAAGCTGCACCATCACTGCGGTTTTTAATTTGCTTGTTTTGTCCAACCAACATTCCAAAACTCAAAAGATATTTGGGTTACTGTCATTTATGACAAAAGCAACAAAACCTATAACTTGAGAAGCTGAAACCAAGAGAATATTTGTCATTTTTGCTGAATTTACTGAAACAATTAAACGTCTATCAAAAGAACTGCTGGTTCATTTTCATTATCTGCCACAGCTCAGATATGATAATGGATTTATTTAGTGACTGGGATTCACCAAGGAAAATGCTGGCAGTCAGCAGGCCCATGTCCGAAGAGCTCAGCAGCAGATCGCAGCGCGCGGTTGGCAGAAGAAAAGACACACAGAGAATCTCCACGGCATCACTGGCATTGGCCCAACCACACACCACCAACAGCAGCCAGTGGAACAAACCAAAACCTGAGAGCAAAAGCAAAACAAAGAGAGAGGTTATCCTAGCTGTCCTTCCCATTATGGAAAGACACCTCAAAGTAGCAAGTAACATTAAACTTTAATAATATTGCTGAACAAATACAGATAAAGATACTGTGAGATAAATAAATCCACAAAACTGGATTTACAATCCCCCCCTTCCCCAACACAAAACATCAGTAATATGTTGACTTTTCTTTTGATTTGTTTCACATTACATTTTATTGCACTAATGATACAACACCATCAAACTTTACATTACCTGCTTCCTCTACTGCTTCCTCGTACGTTAATCTTCTCTGTGCATTCCCATCACTATTGTGTCTGATGTTTGTTGTGGCCTTGTCAAAAATGATTTCACCTAAAAAAACAGCAAAAAAAACACACAAATGGGTCAAGTGAAACAGAGCTTCTAGCTACAAGGGATATTTAAGATATTAAATATCCTGTGTCAAAATCTAGTTATAAAATCTTTAATAAAATTATTTTAGTTTATAATGTGCTCAAATTGTGCATATTACTAAATAAACTAGTCAATTGACAGGAAATAAATCAGAAACATTTCTGATAAACATTTAATTATTAAAGTCTCTTGTTGAGATAATTTGCTGTTTTCTTTGTCTTATAATGGTGCTGATTATCTTCGGGCTTTGGACATTTGGGCTTGGAGAAATTGTGATGTATCTTTCACTATTTTATTTTCTCAATAATCAATTATTTGTTTAAAAACATCAGAAACTAGTGAAAACTCCCAATTATACTTCATATGTCTTGATTTGTCCAACCAGCAACCCAAATCCTAAACATATTAATTTTTAAGTTGAGAAGAAATATATATATATATATTATTTTTTTATTATTATTATTATTATTATTATTATTATTATTATTATATATAATCTGAATCTGTAGTAAAGCAAATATAGCTGTCAAATAAATGTAGTGGAGTTAAAGTACAATAATTACCCTTGAAACGTAGTGAAGTAGAAGTATGTGCATAAAATTTTAATTTCTCACCTGTTTGTCTTACTTAAGAACAGTAAATGTACTTAGTTTATTTCCACCACTACCTTAATGTGAATCTTGTGAGGATTTTGTCTTGATGGCCTGCAAATAAGACTTTTAGATGTGGGTACCTGGATAAAATATTTTGCATTTGCAATTACAGAAATAAATCTACTTTGAGGCAGGGCTGCAACTAACGATTATTTTAATAGTTTTCTCGAATTCTCAAACTAGAGCTGGGCAATAAATCCGTAACAATTATTGCAATACAGTTTTCCTCAATAACAATATAACAATGATTGAATTCATTTGAATCATGAACAAATAAACACATTTTGTCTAGGAAAATATTTATTCTGTTGAGGAAAAGAGGTTTTAAAAAGATTGTACTTAATATTACTCATGCAATTTTGTTAAAAAAACATTTTATCATAATTGTCTTGAATGTTCTACCTCAGATTTGTGAAGTGATCCACTGATTGGCATCAAGCGTTTGTCATGTTCTAAAGAAAAGTTTAAAACCACAATTAACCGTCTGGTTTCTTCAACTTTCACTCAGGAGCAAAAATCATCCTTTAAAGTTTAAATAAATAACGATTTGACATTTATCGTTACAATTAACAATATTTTTTCCCCGTGATATCTATTTAAAAATAGTTTCCAGATAATCCTTGCAGCTCTACCTTGAGGTCCTTGAAATCAAAACAAACCTTATATATTAAGGATAACAATTAAATAAGCATTAAGAACTACTGAACGCTCGCTGTGTACCTAGTTTGAGGAAGTGAAGGAGTAATAACAACTTTTACCTTCATCTGAGTCCAGCTCGTGTGGCTCCAGGTGATCGTTACCGGTGAGAAGCGGCTCACGCGCTTCCTCGTCTCCGGTATGCACGTGACGAGACATCTTCAGAGTCTGTAATGTGTGCTGTAAGCTGTGGGTTTGTCCAGTTAGCTACTCATCCCTTTCCATTTTACTGTTTCAACCGCTGCATGAGTCTCATGACTGCACAGCCTCTCTGGCTAGCTAACACTGAAGCTAACCTGCCAGCAGCAAGAAGGAGGACCAGGAAGTAAAAACACAGCGGCGGTTTGCAGCTCCTGAACGTCCCTCTTCCAGTCAGTCGGTGTGTTTGGTTTCAGTTGTGCGGTCTTCAGGTGAGCTATTACTGCTTCTTGAGCAGCGCAGGTGAAGTTAACGTTGGCAGCTGAAGGAGACACGTATATCTGCGCCGAGCAGAGAGGGGAGCCGTTGACGTTGCCTCCCCTTGTGTGTTTATAAAAAAAAAAAAGAGAAGATTGAAGATGGCGACCAGCTCCGAACGCAGTCCTCCCCCGTTCCCCGACTCCGAGGACCAAGATGTGCTAGACCCTGAGGACGTCGGAGGCCGAGACAGTGATGAAGACGACGAAGGGGACGACCTGTTCATGAGCGCAGTATGTGTGAATGAGGCTAATTTTCATTTCGCGCTAGCTGAGCCCCCACTGATTTGGCTAACTGTCACATGAGTTAGCTAACAGCAGCGGAGAAAGCTAATGAGGCGCTTTAAGCAAAAGTTTTGTACGCGTGTCTACCAACATTTAGCTTGTTTTAGCGCAGAGGAAAGAGTCAGAAAATAATGCTGACAGTGAGCAACTGTCATGTCAGGTAATGTTAGACTTGCAACATTTAACTGGAACTTAAAATGTCAAAGCAGTTTGGGAGTTTCGATGCAGACATTCTGCCCTACCCACCTACAAACACCGTTGCTTTAAACAGTGTTAATCTTCGACACTGTTGGAAATGCCCATCATAGTAGTGTTGATTTCCTACGGTGGAGTTGCAATGTGGAGAAGTATCAAGCTGAGATTTGATTAGGAAACCAGAGAGCACAAAATTCATCTAATATAGTTCCTCTTGGGTTAATGATATGTGGATGTTATGCGCAGATTATATTTGACATTTCAAAAAAACTTCCACTCTTCCAGGTTAACTGCACTAAAGCCTTCAGCAGTTTGGGTGGCTGTGCAGACTTTTTTAGGACTATGCAAATGTAAATCAAGCTGCAGTCTAATCATGGCAATGTCTGTTGAGGAGGAGGTCTGTGTGATTTCCTTGTTGACATTCTCCCGGACGTGATTTTGTTATTCATAATCATCAGTTTAAAATACGCACACTTTTTATTTATTTATTTTTAAATGAGGATTAAAAACGGGCTCCTGCAGCCTCCTGTCATGTGAGTGAGATGTGGTCACATGGTCAGAATCCGGATGTTTTCCCCACAGTCAAAGTTCAGAGGAGAGATTGGAAACTTGCTGTCTTTTGATTTTTGAGCGCTAGACTAACTGCTGCATGGAAAACATTACTCAGCAGCTCTGGATGTCACATTTAACAGAGCCTGTTGTTGAAATAATGTTTAGAGATGGACCAGGCAGTGATCATTAGTGGATTCAGAGTGGCCTCATACTTAAAAGGGACAAGTTAGTTGTTCATTACAGTTCACTCTGGCCTCTAGCTATTAGATTACGTTAAGGAACTATTTGCATAGTATTACTCAACATGATAATTAGCAAATATACCCAAACCCTATGATAAGACATTTGCACTCAGTTGCAAGTTCATTAGGCGCACATAGCTGGTAGGTGTTTCTTATGCTTTATTCAGCAAAGGTGGATCTAAATATTACACTTACACATTATAACATAATACAATTCTACCACAGCTCTAACTACAGCCTCTAAAACGATCATAAAGTTAAATCGACACCTTTCCAGCGAAGTTTCAACAAAAACTGAACTTTGAAACCTTTAGGAAAGTAGAATTTATTGCAGAACTGTTGTATTAGATTGCATTCATTTTTGCAATGCGTGCCTAGCAACTAGGTGTATATGCATTTGTCGTCTTTGCGACTGCTTGTCTGATAAAGCTGAAACATAATTAGCCTGGAATGACATAACAATGTTTTGTTTTTGAAGGGTTCAGGGATTCAAGGGTTCTTTTAATGGTCATTTTACAACACAAGGTTGTATAAGAAGATTTACGTTTGTAGTCCCTTTATGCTACGCAGACACAAACAACACAGAGCAACACATAAAAAAAACAATATTACATTTGATGGAGTGAGGGGGATGAATTCAAAATGCTCACAGCCTGAGGGAAGAAGAAGAAACTGCTCTGAAGTCTGGTGGTATGACAGCAGATACTTGGTTCCTGTGTCTCTTGCCAGATGGCATAAGGGTGAACAGGCTATTATCTTTGGGGCTCGGCACAAGCACCTTCCTTGACCAATATCACTGATTATGGTGATGGGTACCAATTATGTTCTGGGTGGTTTTGCAGAGCCCTCCTGTCCCTGTGGGATGTTTCCTGTCAGGATGCTTTAAAAGCTGATGAGAACTTGCCACCTGAGCTTTGCTCTCATGTTTCCTTAAGAAACATAGGAGAGACATTTCTGAGGTTTCTTTACCAGGCTGGAGATGTGAGATGACCATGACAGCTTCTTTGTGATGCTGATTCTCAGGAAGCTAAAACTGTTTCACCTGCTTCACCTCAGCTCCACTGATGTAGACAGGAGTGTGTGTCTTTGCTTCCTTCTTCCTGAAATCAACAATCGGCTCCTTGATTTTTGCTAACGTTGAACAGTGAGTCCCCTCTGCAAGACTGTTGATTTCCTCTTGATATGATTGAAGTAAGAAAGGATTAGAAAAGAAAGGTCAACAATACCATACAAATGAGTACAAAAGCAAACATCAGGCTTCACTCATAAATCAGTGACTTTGAACGGGCAGCCTCATTCACCACTTACATTGTCAACTATTTTTATATATATATATATATATATATATATATATATATATATATATATAAAACTAACTAGTTTGTTAAAACCTGTTTGATTCCCATAAAAATTTGTTGAATGTTGGATATCGGACAGAAACATCAAATTAAACCCCCTTCAAATCATAATGTGGTTGACTTTGATTATGGTTGATGAGTTTGTGGAAGTTGTGTTTGTAGCAATACTATATTTTTGTGTTGGGAATCTTAAGACTAGGGATGGGTCATGATTTTTGAATAGTCATTAAATTCTAAAAGATTGAATAGTTTATGCGACTATCGTCCTGTCTTGTGTATATACGATTTTGTCTTCCAACGATTATGCAAACAAGAAAATGAGATAAAACAATTATTGTGTCTCATTGTGTTTTGCATGGATACTCTCATTTTGTCTTTTTATAAATCAAGTGCACCCTTTTAGAGCTGTGGCTCCTGCCCCTCCCTAAAAGCCCAAACTTTCTCTCAGCCAGGCTGTGGCACGTTTGTTCAGCTTCAGACAAGATGATGGGGATTATAATTTGGCTATAATTTGCTTACTCAATTCAATTCAATTCAATTTTATTTATATAGCGCCAAATCACAACAACAGTTATCTCACAGCGCTTTTCATAAAAGAGCAGGTCTAGACCGTACTCTGTGATGATATTTACAGAAGCCCAACAGTTCCCACCAAGAGCAGCACTAGGCGACAGAGGCAAGGAAAAACTTCCTTTTAAGAGGCAGAAACCTCGAGCAGAACCATGGCTCAGGGTGGGCGGTGGTACTCACCATTATTAGCTTAGCCTGCAGCATTTTACACTCCATAAATTAGAGTGACAGACTTTTCCTGTACTCATATGTTAATTATTTATGCTAATTTATATTTTTCGCACTCACTGTTGGTGTTAAGATGCTGTTTAAAGTTAATAATGTTGGATTACTATTATTTCATTGGCTATTTGTGAAGCATTCATTTTAAGAGTTCAGTAAATCATTGTTTCCTAAACCAATAAGTAATCGTGTTAAATGATCATGATTTTATTATTGATCAAAATAATTGTGATCATATCAAATAGTATTTTTGCTTGAAATGCCATCCCTACTAATGACCATACAACTGGATACCAGAGACATGGATTATTGTGTAGGAACAGCTTAAGAAGGATTTATGAACATTTAGATTTTAACATTTATTTTATGAGCAAATGTCTTATTGGAAGCTCTGTTTCTTGTGGTAAATATATTATTAATTGATTAATAATTAAAAACACATTTTGGATGGTATTTCTTCCAGACTATAATGCTTACAGTCATATGGAAGACATATTACATGGCAAAGGAAAAAGGACTGATTGATCAGTTAGTCGATTTGACATAAAATTCGCCAACTATTTTGATAATCAGTTCATCATTTTAGCCGTTTACCAAAAAGAATGCCTCACATTTAATTGATCCAGTTTCTCAAATGTAAACATTAGCTACTTTTCTCTGTTTTAATATGATTATAAATTGAATATCTTTGGGCTTGTCCAACCAAACAAGCAATTAGGGGACATTAACTTGAGCTCAAGGAAATTGGGGATGGGCTAGTCTTTGCTAATTCCAAAAAATTATTGACCGACAATTGTTAGTTAGCCCTTTTCAAATACTCTGAAACATTCAATCTTTTTTTTTCCTTTTCCCCTCGTCTCCAGAGCAGCCCTCCGCTGACCGAAATGGACCCCACACTGCCACCTGCCAGTCAACCCGGTGATGTTTTAATGAACAATCCCATCAAGCCTGTCAGCAGCCAAACAGAAACCAAACCAGCGAGTGTATTTGCCAGTGAACCCCTTGATGATTTTGTTGACCTAACAAACAACGTAACCGACTCTCCTGACGACACAGTCGCAGCTGAAAGTGCCGTTGCAGATGCAGCAAAAGACACAACTGAAATCCATTTAGATGAACCCTCGGATGATTTTGTTGACATATTTGGAAGTGAAACCCATCAAGAGGAAGTTGTAGCAGATGTTACTGTTAAAACAGCAAAGAATAAAAGTGAAGTGACCAGTGGTGTTACAGATCCACCTGGTGAAAGGAAATCAGGAAGTGATGCAAAACAGGAAGCAAAAGTAACTTCCACTGATTCAATCATCGACCTCAGTGGTGATGTGTCAGCCAGTAACACACAACAGCCACATGGCAGTGACAAAATTGTTGACCCTTTGGTTGACCTCCTTAGTGATGCTCCACCCGCTGCTGATGCAAAAAAACCCAGCCGGGCAACAATCGATCTGTTTGAAGATGAGGGAAGCGAGTTGTTCACAGAACCACGGCAGACTCAATCTGCCAAGCAGTCACAGAAAAGCCTCTTCGGTGAAACTGATGAGGATCTGTTCAGTGAGTCGCTGGGTGCCACCACAAAGAAAACCATCAGCAAAGAGCATAAGGACAAATTTGTCACAACCAAAGCTGTTGGTGATCGACGCAACATAGGTGGGCCTCTGCAAGACAGTAATCCTGCAGAAACTGCTGATATCTTCACAGAGGAAGCCTTCACCACAGTGCCCAGCATCAGAAACACCAGCACCGCCAACTCCAAGACTAATGGAGTCCACTCTGAAGAAGAGACAGATATATTTGCTGGTGGGAGCTTTATTTTTCTTTTATTATGTAACATTATCAGGATTTTAGGATTTAGTGTTCCAAGGAGAGCGTTAGTGACAAAGCAGGGTGTTCACACAGAGCAGTGTTTATCCTCTTATTTCAGTTAATTTGTGTGGAAACAGTTTTCAAAGTCACGTGTGCAACAAATAACTGATCTGTTTAGTTTCAATAAGCAATTTATTGGAAGTAAAAACATAACCTAAGCAAACTGCAATTTAAAAACACCAGATTCAGTCCAGATTCCTGTGTTTTTATTTATTTTAATTTGTTCTGTTAGTCTTAAGGCATGTTTGCTATAGTACAGAGTACAGAAGTTGACAGGAAATTAGGGGAGACAGTCGGAGGATGACATGCAACAAAAGGTTCACAGCCAGATTCAAATTAATTATCTCTTAAACCCAAAACACCCATGTGTTTTTGTTCTTAAAAGAGCAGTGCAGTTTTACAACATTGTCAGATTCACAATGGACAAAAAGGATTGAAATCAGTGCAGCAGAACCAGCAATATAGTGCGTTTCATGGCATGCTTTCTTCTTCCTTGTCAAATCATTGTGCATATATTACCTACAGTAGAACTCAACCATCACTCACTTTTTCCAGTAAATGAGGCTTTCAGTTTAAAAACACTGGAAAACATGTAAGTGAGCTGTATCAAACTAGAGGCTGAAAGCAGAAAAGACAAACTGCAGTGTCAGGTCGAGGTCAAACGCTTTATTATCAAACCCAGATAGAAACAAATTGCCCCTTACGATGAAGTCCTTAGTTTGCTGTTCTCTCAGATTACCATACAGAGAGTAAGACGCAAAATGGTGTATAATTTCGCACACTGTCAACACAACATTTATTAAAGAAACAACACTTTGTGCTGACAGTGCACAGGAGTCCAGCAATATACACAGAAAAACCTGCAGCTTAGAGGGTGGACTGGGTTGGCCATTAAACATGGTTGTTTGAACCCCTGGCTCCTTCTGATCACATTAAAGTGTGCTTGAGCAAGACACTATATCCAAGAAGATATGTAACATAATTCAATATAAAGGTTAGAGAATGAATAATGATTGGATAAATACAACTAGAATAAAATAAACATAAGTGTGTCAGTATTTTGTTTCTTTGTGATATTTTCTGCCACATTGACAGCTATACATAAAGTTAAATTTATAACAGGGCCAGGATGGTCCAGTACCTAAAATAATGGACTAAACACATTTCCGTTCAGCTTGGAATGACCCCAGTCTGGTTTCTTTTTCTCTCTAACAGAAGGCACGGTGGAGCTTTCTCTCGACAGCCCGCTGAACGAGAGAAAGAGGGATGTGACAGCCAAACCGTCTGCATCCACCCCCTCTCTGTCAGCGGCTGCCAGCCTGGCCAAGCCTCAGTCTGCTTCCCTGGAGGAGGTACACGCATATCTAATCCCAGAGTGAAATTCCCAGTATGACTGCAACAAAGTCATAACTGAAAACTGTTTTTTAAGTTAAGAGATTTGCTTTTTATTTATTTATTTATTTTTTTTATTTACTCCTGGTTTTCTGGAATATTCAAGATTCAAGAGTCTGTTAATCGTACAATTTGCATTTTTTGACTAATTTAACATTTTACTGAATATTTCCCCAAAAATCCACTGTAAGAAAATTGGTGACTGTTCAATAGAAGTGCTTGACTGGCAGTATTTCACTTCCTGTTCAATATTTGTTTCAGTTGGAAGAAGAGGAAGATGAAGAGCAGGAAGACACATTTGAAATTGTTGTCTCTGTCAAAGACCCTGAAAAAATAGGTGGGGCTCTTTAATTTTATTCTTCTTTGAACAAATTATGTATCTGGGTTTATTTTAGTTTGTTGCAATACAGTTACAAATTGGTTTGTGCACCGTATTAACGTCAAGCCAAGCAAAGGCTATTCTGAATTACTTGAATCCTTCATTTAATCATTTCAAACATGTGGGAAATAATCAAGAACTCAAGAAGAGAGAGTAATGATAAAGTGCCACAAAGACAACCCATGTGCATCTTGCCTTGAGTATTTATAAATTTTAATTAATAATAATTAATAATTATTTACTATTATTTTGTGTCTTCCTTTTTTTTAGGGGACGGGATGAATGCCTACATGGCCTACAAAGTAACCACACAGGTAAAAACTTGCCGATATATAGCATTTCACTTAATCTGAAGTTGTTCATCTTTAATCCAGAGGAAGTTAGTACAGTTCAGTCATCAGATGTGTTATAACGGCGCGCGAATAGAGGAAATACTTTGTTATAGGAAAAATGCCCACGCACTGGTCTTGAAAAGCCAAGATGGATTACGTCAGAACTTTATAGCAGTAATTCACCAAAAATAAGCCAGCCAAGTGATTAAAATCCAATAATAGAAATGACGAAAATATTGTGAACTCCGTTTCAGACCACACTGCCCATGTTCCGCAACAAGACATTTACAGTGAGGCGACGCTTCAGCGACTTCCTCGGCCTCTATGAGAAGCTTTCTGAAAAACATGGACCAAATGGATTAATCGTGCCTCCGCCACCAGAGAAGAGCATCCTGGGTAGGCTTACTGGCTTTACTGCTTTCTCTAAAACTAACTATAAATCTCTGTCAGCCATAAGAAAGGATGTTGTCTTGCACAGGTATGACAAAGGTGAAGGTGGGAAAGGAAGATTCCTCGTCTGCAGACTTTGTAGAGAGAAGAAGAGGCGCCTTGGAGAGGTAAGAGAGAAGCAATGAAATTAAAGCTTCATCATGACAAATTTAGTTAATTCATGTCATTAGTGATTGGAGAAAACAAATAATAATCTTTATTTGTAGAGCACTTTTCAAGTGTAAAGACAATAATACCCAAAAGACAATACAAAAACAATACAAGATAAAAGCAAGAAAACATTGAAAAGACTAAAATACACGTTTAAGATAAATATAAAATAAGTAAAATAGAATAAAATAAAAGGGATAAAATGAAGTCAAATAAGATCGGGAAAGGCTCTCTTATAAAAGTATGCCGACCTGATTTCCTCGGGCAGGCTGTTCCAGAGCCTCGTGGCCCTGACAGCAAACGCTCTGTCCCCTTTAGTTTTCAGTCGAGATTCTGGAACAGACAACAGACCTCTGCCCGAGGATCTCAAGGTACTTGCTGGTGTGTATGTGACTAAAAGTTCAGAAATATAACAAGGCGAGAGGCCATGAAGAGCTTTAAAAGTGATCAGTAAAATTTTAAAGTCAATTCTAAAACATACTGGGAGCCAGTGTAATGAAGCTAAAATAGGAGTAATGTGGTCATATTTCTTTGTTCTGGTTAAAAGCCTGGCAGCTGAGTTCTGGACAGTCTGGAGTCGATCAGTAGATTTTTGGGTTAAACAAGTGAAAAGGCTGTTGCAATAATCCAGGCGTGATGAGAAGGCGTGTAAAATGGTCTTAGTGTCCTTAAAAATTAACATAGATTGAATTCTTGCTATATTTCTAAGTTGATAAAAACATGATTGAACAAGCTTTGTGGTGTGCTACTCGAAATTTAAATTACTATCAAACCAAACACCATGGTTCATTGCCACAGGCTTAACATAATTCACTAGGGAAACCAGCAGATGGCAAAACAAATACTGCCCTCTGCTGGTTTCCCTAGTGAATCATGTACCCAATGACCAGGATTTCTGTTTTGTCTGAGTTCAGCTGGAGGAAATTATTTGACATCCATTTTTTAACTTCACAAAGGCAGTTGTTAAGTGAACTCAGCATTCCAGGGTCTGTGGATCTGACTGGCAAGTACATTTGTGTGTCATCAGCATAAATATGAAAAGAAATGCCATGTTTATGGATAATATGTCCAAGGGGAAGCAGATACAAGGAAAACAAAATGGGTCCTAAGACCGACCCCTGAGGCACACCATATTTAACTGGACAGAACGAAGAGACATAGTTGTTTACAGACACGCAAAACTTCCTATTTGACAGGTAGGATGAAAACCATTCTAGGGCAGTACCAGAGATCCCCACCCAGTGCCTCAGTCTGTCTAACATTATGTTGTGATCAATGGTGTCAAAAGCAGCGCTAAGGTCCAGGAGTACCAGGACTGAGCACATGCCTTCATCAGCAGACATTAAAAGGTCATTGGTGACTTTAAGCAGGGCCGTCTCAGTGCTGTGGTACTTCCTGAAACCAGATTGAAACTTTTCAAATATTTTGTTATTTTCCAGTACAGTGAGCAGCTGTTTGGACACAATTCTTTCTAGAATCTTTGCAATAAAAGGCAGTTTTGAAATTGGTCTAAAATTTTGTGGGAGGGAGGGATCTAAACCAGGTTTCTTTAAAAGCGGGTTCACACAAGCCGTTTTAAAATAATCAGGGACACAACCAGTAGATAGGGAGCTGTTAAAAACAGCGATCAGAGATCAAATGGGGCCCAACAGAATCCATTATTTTCAGTAAAAACTTTGTAGGTATTACATCAAGTGGGCTGGAGGACACTCTCATTTGTGATACTGTTTTTAAAAGCTCAGACAAGTCGATGGGATAAAACTGGTTAAAACTCTCTTGTTGCTGGTGAGGAACCTCTGAGTAAGAGGCCGCGGGGGTAATAGAGTCTCTGATTGACACCACCTTATTGGTAAAATAAGATAAAAACAATTCAGTCATCATTACTTCCAGCTGAGGCACAAGGAGGGGTTGGGTTTACCAGCTGATCCACAGTCTTAAACAGAAACCTGGGATTGTGTTTATGTGTAGTAATGAGTTCAGAAAAATAGTGTGTTCTCGCATCCTTAACCATGTTATTGTAGTTAATTAATAAATCCTTCAGACTGAGGTAATGGACTTGGAGACTGGATTTTTTCCATCTGCGCTCTGCTTTCCTGCATTCCCTTTTGAGGCTGCGAATGCTGTCATTTATCCAGGGTTGCTTACTAGCTTTAGACGTAGGCCTAACCTTTAGAGGAGCAGTAATATTTAGTGACGACAAGCAGATATGATTGAAGTGATCAACCAGATTGTTGGTGTTGGAATCTTACAGGTGTTGGCTTTGGCTCTGAAAGAATGCGCAAAAGTTTGAAACACTTTATTCATTAAAGATGCGAGAATCCCACCTTTAAATCGGATGCTCAAATCTCTGCTAAACATTAAAGCTGTTATAATGTTGTTTGATCATAGAAAGAAGGAAAGTGAGGGTTTATTTCCCCCTTTTCCCATTCTAAAGGTATCTTCAGCGGGTGGTAAATCATCCATCACTTCTGCAGGATCCTGATGTCAGAGAGTTCCTGGAAAGAGAAGAAGTAAGTTGAAATTGAGTTTGGAGAGCCCCGAGCCTGGGTGCCTTTTTTATAAGACAAACATTTATTTAGTTTTATGCCTGAGCACCTGTGAAATACTGTACTCTTTAAAGTCTATAAAATCGCCTGGCACACAACTTCACTTAATAATAATTTGTTGACTAAATTATCTTTATTACATCTAAAAATGTTTGTTTGAATTGAGGGAACACTTTCAGAGGGATGTATTTTTCCTCTGCCATTTGTATTTACTACTTACTTCCACTACTTCCCTTTGTGTTTCTGAAATTTTACTATATTTTTTAAGTTCAGTCTGGTTCTGTATCATAATATGTGTGTGTGTCCTTAGTTACCCCGAGCAGTGAGTACGCAGGCTCTGAGCGGCGCTGGCTTCTTGAAAATGATCAACAAAGCAACAGATGCTGTCAGTAAAATGACCATCAAGATGAATGAGTCAGATGTGGTGAGTTCAACTGTAAACAGACACTCCTTCTGTTCACAACGGTCTTTTATTCCCTAGAAGCTCTTGTGTAACAGATAATTTTTCTAATGAGGAAATCAGCATTTTCCAGTAAAAAGCAGAACATATCAAGCTCACAGTTGGAGCACAGTCAGGATGAAGCACTAAACAGTACAGTACCAGAACATATTAGGTACAGAATGGCTTGCCATCAGTCTGTTAACTCATTGCACTGAGAAAACAAAACCTGCTTTCTTTTGTTATGACCCAGTACTGATGATAAGCTTCAACAAATGGACAGACTGGCCAATGCATTCTTTTGTAAACTGATCTGGTGGTGCATTGATTAAACCTTTTATGTGTCCAGTGCTATTTTTGTATGCGGTAATGCAAGCTAACATAACTGTATATTTAATAGATAGTAAGTGAGGCAACCTGTCACACTAATCAAAGACCCTGTTCATCAGAAGCTGGTGTGTAAAGACACTGATTTCCTCTTGATCTGACCTGAAATTACCACATCTATGATTAATTAAATGTTTATTCCAGCTGAGTAAATACAAAAGAACATAAGTACGTTAAACTGCACTGGATTCCCGATGTGTTTTGAGGTTACCCCACGCTGAAAGCACCAAAGAGTTATAGCTTGCATAAATGTAGGAGCAGGGTTCTTGTATAAATCCAGAAAATCTGTAAAAGGATTTAAATTGAATTAAAGCTGCAAGCAGTCTTGGACACGCCCTCGCAGCGTGGCGCGAATGAGGCGTGTCGCGGGGCAGTGGCCGGAAGTCGAGAGACACAACTTTGAATTATCACACGTTTTGGACACCTAACAAAGGAGGTCAACATCACTTCCTGTTTCCTGTGGCGCTAGAGAACACCTGCAAATTATACGTTATGTCCCAGTCCATCAAGTGCAGACTAAGCTGAGAAAAACTTCTTGTTTGTTGGCAAATCATCAATTTTCGCCACGGGCAAGCCCTTCAACTCAAAGTCACAGATAGCACTACTTTTTATCGTCAGTGCCTTTAGATTAAATAGCAAAAATATGAAGTCAACCAGATTAATAAGGAGGAGTCCGTTAAAGTATGTAACCTTTAAATCGCCACAAATGACAATTATATTCAAAATGGACAGCTTCCTGTAGGGTTTAAGGAATTGCTCCAAGAGGCTTTAGTGTGACTTAAAATGTTTTTGATTTACACAGTTGTGTGATTAATCCTCTGTAATGTAGCTTGTAATGTCATCGAGCTCAGTCTTCACTGACATAACAGACGTGTGTTTTTTATACTAACAAAAACACTGAAACTTTGCTTAGAAATTAACCTGTGGAACAACAGTGGGATCTAAACATGTAGAACACACAGGGGCCTCGATGATGGAGTTGTACTAACTGTGTGTTTCACTGCAGTGGTTTGAGGAGAAGCTGCAGGAGATGGAGTCTGCAGACCAGCACTTCAGGAAGCTCCATGCGCTGGTCGAATCTCTGGTCATTCACAGGAAAGGTTCGTTGTCTCCCTTCCAACCACTTAAAGATTTGCCTTCAGAACTTTCGCTAAAGCCTAAACGGAGACAAAAAAGCTAAGATAACTATCTCTTTGCCAGTGTGCTGCAAGATAAGGGCTATTTTTTACCCAAAACCATGCCCAGAAAGTAGTTTGTATATGATCACTTTTTTGTAATTGGTGTTTGGTGTACATGGAGGAAAATGCCTCTGTTTGCCTTAATGTTTGGCTCGATCTTCCCCTTCAGAGCTGTCGTTAAATACAGCAAGCTTTGCCAAAAGCACAGCCATGCTGGGTAGCGCAGAGGACAACACCGCTCTGTCCCGAGCTCTCTCTCAGCTGGCAGAGGTGGAGGACAAGATGGAGCAGTTGCACCAGGACCAGGCGGCAAACGACACCTTCGGCTTTGCTGAAGTCATCGCAGATTACATCCGCCTGCTTGGAGCCGTGAGGGTACTGAGAAAATCTGTTCTAATTACTAATTTATTAAAATGAATTACTGGATGTCAAAGCTAATTCTGCATAGTGAAGTATTCATTATCTTATTTAAAAAAAACAAAGGTTAGGAGGTAAATTGAGGCCTATCTAAGTGAAATTTAAACACCAATTTGAAGTAGTTCAATTTCATTGCTGTGCAATTTTGTTACTTTCGTTACAATCTAAAAAACATCAAGCCTGTCCGTCCATCGGTGGCTTACTCTCTTAAGCAGTGAGGTCAAGTCTGTCATTTTAATTTAGTCCAAGTAGTTGTATTGAATACTCGTAAGGAAAATCTTTGCCAGAGGAAAGTAGTTTCAGGGACAAGAAGAAATGCCAGTTAAGAACTAAGACAGAGAAGGATGTTATGTATCAGTGTTGTTGTGCTTTAGTGTTGCCCATGTTATCTGAGCAGCCTATTCACTCATATATTTAAAGGCTAATGGTTAACTTCTGATTTTAATCTAATGGTGGTTAAAACAATAACATGTAACTGCTCCCGCAAGAAAAATGTACTGACTAAAGGCATGACATTTATTTGGACTGTTGTTCCTCAGCTACAAACATAAACATGATATGATCCTGTGTGTGTTTGTGACCTGCAGGGGTCGTTTGATCACCGGATGAAGGCGTGGCAGCGTTGGCAGGATGCTCAGACAGTGTTACAGAAGAAGAGGGAGACTGAGGCCAAATTGCTGTGGGCCAACAAACCAGACAAACTGCAGCTGGCCAAAGAGGAGATTACTGAGGTACAAACATTGGCCAGAATGATCACCGTGAAAATAACTGGAATGCCTGGAAGTGCTTCGGTTTGTTCCTGGATAATTTTGTTCCTGTCATCAGAAACGGGGAGCACAATGAAACAAATAGAGTCACATTTTTTCTATTACCTTGGTTATTGTCATGATACAGTAAAGCAAATATATTAGATTTCATAGTCATAGTCTTGTTTTTAATAAAATAATCAACACAAACTTGATTACGCACATAGCCACGCCACCGTGAGCTAGTTGGCGGTGGGGTTCACTGTAGTTGTTGGTGTAGGCTACTACAAACAATAGCAACTGAAACTGAGTGGATCATGTTGGAGCTAATCGATGTTGAACAGCAGTTTTTAGTGTTTAGCTTTTAGTGAAATTATAAAAGCGCAGAAAAGAGAGAAAGAGTGTCGCATCGAACTTTAGTTAAATTTTTGGGCATGTGCCTGTCAAGCTACAGGGTACCTACAGCGTATATTCAATACAGCAGTAGAAATTGGTCTTCATGCTGCGCTTAAGCAACATATGCTCACTTTCTTTGTCCTGGTAAGGAAGTGCTGAAAATTTTTATGTTTAGCATTTGAATCTTTTTTTAATCGTCAATATTTACTGGAGAGCACATCACAAGAAAAATGATCATTGTCTCTCTTCCCTTAATATCTAATGGATTGTGTAGAGGCTCAATTGCTGCATGATGGTAAAAAAAAGAAGTGATAAAAATATTCACAGTAAGTCAAAATTTAGAAATACTAAGTGAAATTTGGTTTTTCAAAGTAGAGATTATGAGTCTTGAAGTCACTATTTTGAGATAGTGAATCAAAAATTCAATTAATCTCAAAATCTTTGCTTAAAAATGGAATTTCTTAGTATGAGATACTGTGACACAACTTTAACCTACTATTATAATTCTAACTGAAAAATTCATTTTTAACTTACTGTTAACGTCGTTTTATTATTTTTTGCATGTCCTCCTTTTTTTAATATCCTGTCATGAATGATCTTCTATACTACAGGACTTTAAAGTTTTCCTCTCCTATTAATAGTGGGAGGCCAAAGTGACGCAGTATGAGAGAGATTTTGACAGAGTTTCTGCCACCGTGCGCAAGGAAGTCGTCCGCTTTGAGGTACTGATGTTTATCCTTTGTTGCATTCACAACAGTTACTCTACAGCAGAAAGCATTTGTCATTACTGATGACATTTTTTTTATTAAATCATACAGAAAGAAAAGGCCAAGAATTTCAAAAGACAGATAATTAAGTACTTGGAGTCTCTGCTTCAGTCTCAGCAACAGGTGAGTGCTTCTCTAGTCAAACATAAATATTTTAATATTTCCATAATTTTCTTGTCAACCGAGTTAAATGTACATTTATAAATAGTTTTGATATTGAGAAAGCTTTTCCAACTCTGGCAGTCATTGTTTTGACTACGTCATGTTTTACAGTTTAGACACTTAGCCGGTGATCTTATCCAGAAAGACTTCACAAAAACAGCAGTACAATATGTTTGAATTTATAAATCATCAAATGGAAAAGAGTGGAAAAAGTGCGGCCTTAACCAACCTTTAATGCAAAAAACACAGCTAATTGGGCATGGGACACACCCTGAGACTTGATCAGTCTCGGCGGGGACTTCCTTGGGAGAGGGTATCTAGTGATAATGGCCACTCGATGATCCCGTGGTCCTCTACTGAAGGTGTGTCCTACAATTTACAGGATTACATATATGTAATTAGAATTTTAATTAGCCATACTAATTCAGATCAAATCCCATTATGGCGATACAATTTAATAATAAATTTAATAATAGCTATTAATCCCACTTTGTAGTTGCAATATCAACATAATAAAATTGTATTTACATATTTGTAATCCTGTAGTCAGCTACAATTGTTCTGGGACTATAGAAGGGATATTTATTTTAAATTAGAATGTATTTTAGGAAAGGAATAAAACATGAGCTAAGGAGCGAGACATGAAAGATGTTTTTTACATGAAGATAGGAAAAGGAAAGATTAGGGCTGCAAGTAATGAACCCGTATTAAAAAAGGCTCTTCCAAAGTTTCAAGAACACAAAGTAATGTCTTCAAATTGCTTATTTTGTTCAATCAATGTTCCAAAACCCATAAATGTTCAATTTTCAATTCTGTAATAACAGGGAAAAACTACACATCACACTTTTGCTTGAAGTGGGACACATGACTAGGAAAGATGCAAAGCATCTGTTATAAATTCTAAATATTAACCACTTAATGTCTGTCAGTTATTAACAAACCTGTCACTGTTGTCTCTTTCTTTTTTCTCTCTCCAGCTGATAAAATACTGGGAGGCTTTCTTACCGGAAGCAAAAGCAATCGCCTAATCCTCGAGCCCCAGCCTTGTGGACGACAAAACAGGCTGCCTTTTTCTTATACACTTTACCTCTTGCCTTTAAACCAAGGAAAATGCGTGCATTGTAAAGGGAGATACAATCAACCTGTTTTTTTTTTTTTATCACCTTTAACATATAGCTCTGTACTCTATTGTATTAATAATTGTATATTTTCATTTAACCTTCCACAAATATTTTCTTATTAGATGAAAAGAGTTTGCATACACAAAGTTAAGGACACATGAGAAAAAGAAGAAAGTGTAGATAAATGATTCCATTAATTTCCACAAGAGAAGGGAAATGAACCGAGTCTGTTGTTCTCAGGATTTTCTCCCTTGTGTGATCAGGAGCTCCTTCATCAGCAATGGTTAATTGTTTACAGTGCGGCTGCTCTCTCATCAAATATTTCTGGGGACCCAGATGAAGAAAGTGGCCAAGAGATCTCGCTCTGTTTCTTCTTTTTAATGACTCAAAGGGATAAAATAACAGTTAAATGAATTAAAAAAAAATTGAGCACTTCCACCAGGTGGATAAAATACTTCAGAACCAACTGTGTTTTCTTTTCTTTCAGATTTAAAATACTATTGATGCTGTGGGAAGGGGGTGCATGGGTATTGAAAGGCATTAGATTAGCAGGGTCTACAGCTGTGGTCAAGGGTTGCATTGTAGGTCAAGCTTGTGGGTTTAATGTTTTAGATATGATTTCAATCATAGTACAAACTTTACTCTTATAACTACACATGTCTGTGCCTTTTAAGTCAGAATGGTGTTTTTGGTATTATCCACTTTGGGAGAAAGTTTCACACAGCTGTGGGCAGTGCAGAGGCTTGTTTCTTCCAGCCATAATGATATAAGTGTCAATGCTGAGGTTAAAGAATAATACTGGTGGTTTCATGTTTAAGCCCATTTACTACAAATTAAGTGTTGTTTTCCCTCTACATTCTTGCTTGTAACTGCAAAGTTGTTTTTATTTTATGTTTTCTCCTACCTTCCAGACAGTCTTTGGACTCACTACTGTATGAAAATCAACATGCAGGGACTTGTAATCCTCACAGTGAACGTCACGTCAGAGTGTTTTTGTCAAAGTTGTGTCATTGTTGTTTGGTAATTCAGTACTGTAAGTGTTAGATGACTCTCTTTAGGGCATTACCAAGCACCAGTGGCTTTGAGAAAAATACAGTAAATTCTGACATGTATGGGTTAGCCTTTTAAAGAAAGTCTTGTGCTGCTGTAGTGAAATGAATGGAAACCAAAGGCTGCCTGTATGGTAGGATTCTGAGTCCTGCTATGAAGTTTGTTTGGTAGTAATTTAAAAGTTAGGACCTCAACTAACACTTGATAGATTAACAGATTCTTACAACTGTGTAGTCTGTAAAATGTTGCAAAATAATGAAAAGTTCCACTGTCTCCTGGAGGCCAATGTGACAAAATTGTTTTATCTAACAGTTTGAGTTTTAAAGGTACCCTGTGGAGTTTTTGACCAGTTGTAGCCTATGAGCAATGTTTGTTGGCTTCCCATTTTTGTTAGTAGCTTGCGGGTGATGTGATATGCCTTCCAGCGGATGATTTCTTGCTTTTCTAATGATGAACATAAGAAAAGCAAAAAATATGACGACAAAGGCAGGAAAGAATGCTGCTAGCTAGTAAACATGGACGCAAACAATGTAGATTTCAAATTCCTCACAAAAACACTCGGCAGTCTGCAAATGTCTTTATTATGAGGAAGGAAATGCATTTAACGCATTTGTCAGACCTGTAAGATGCACAGTTTGGTGAGAAACCGTAAATGTAAACATAGCTTTGTTTGCAAAAACAACCTACAGGGTACCTTTAATTTACAATGATATAAAACCGAAAAGAAGCAAATCCTCACATTTAAGAAAGTGGAACAAGCTAATGTTGGGCATTTTTGCATAACAAGGGCTGAGTAATTATAAAAGATTAATTGTCTGTTGTTCGGCTAATAATTTCAGCACTAAACAATACTGTGTGTAATATCTAGTGAATGGGCAACAACGTGCAAATAACACTGGAATGGTCCTTTAAAAAAAAAAAAAAAGAAAAGAATAAAGCTGGACTGGGCTCATACTGACTCCAAAACATGAGCTTAATGTCAAACACTAAATGTACTGATGTCATAGTGAACCTGATGCTTCCCTAAAGACTCGGTCTGCAGTTTGACAAGTAGAGTTTTAACATCAAACGGTAACAAGCCCGTGTCACAGCGTCCTATGGCTGGGCTGCTATTTTTTGATTTCAGCTTTAATTTCACATTTACGCACACATAAATTGAAGCCGTGTAGGGATGACCTACAGTGTATGTCATCGCCTAACTTGCAGACATTTCTGTGCACGTTTTTTATTTTTGTACAACTAGTTGAACGCTTGTTTTCAACTGTTAGCACGCATAAAACCTGTTGTTAGTGCGGACTCATAAGTATCTGTATGCCATCACTTGTCAATGTGCAGAGCAATGTCAGCAATGTGCACCGTGTCATAGAAATTTCTTTTAAAACCAATCAATAAAAGTTGCACTGTTTACACTTGGAAATTTCATTCAGGACTTCAGCGTGTTATTTCTCCACTTGAGTTGTTTTCTTAGCCTGACATTGTAAGTAAACAAGCTTTTGATTGGATTCAAAAAGACTACTGATGTGTGATTGGTGTTGAGGATACAGTTTTTTAAGTAGATAACAAAATGTTCTTACTACATTCTATTACAGCTGCTGCTTTTCTCTTTTCTTTTCCATCTTTCCTGCAGGTTAGCAGGTGCACAATTGGGTGGATAATGAATGAACAGCTCCCCCTTGAGAAAGCCTGCTAAACGTAGGTGAGTGAGTTTGTGAATGAGACCAAGCCAGTTCCTTTTGGTGCTTTGTATCTTAAAATGAATACATTTTGATAACAGGGTAATAATCAATCTTTATTTGGAACATACACTGCTGTTGGAGTTTTTGCAACTGGTCACTGAGAGGTCTTTAAGGTTATAGATAAACCACATTAAGACTAAATTAAGTAAAATTACACCCAATTAGTCTCTAAATTGGCTGGAGTGATATGTTAGCTTATTAACTTATATGTTGGTAAGTAAGAAAAAATTACATTACAAATATGCCAAAGATATATACAGTATTTAAGGTAACCATATCTCCAGTACAGACTTTTCAACTGTAAAGTTTGGTCAGTACAGATCTTGGTTGAATTCTTCAATAACCAAATTTGATATCCTTTTTTGAAAAAAATGCTTTTTTAGTTTAGATTTATGCCATTAAAATGAATATTTGCAGTTGCTTAGAAAATCCAGTATCTAGCTATAGCTATAATGCATAGTTATTGTAATTGGCTCACTCATCTTCCACTGTAGGAAGAAAAAAAAGTTTTCGGTAGCTTGATGACCGGTTCTGCAATTTATTACAAATGCAATAAAGTCTGTCATTTTATCTTAAGCATGCAAAGATATTCTGACTTTTAGTTGCTAGTATAAGTCAAATAAAAACATTTGAGCCTATCCATTTTCCATATTGCAACTCACCAATAACATATTTTGTTAGTCTGAGTACCTCTCCCCATTATTAGTGAACCTTTTATGTGTAAAATCTTTGAAGTTACCCTTTAACAGAGCACCCTGACAGCTTTGCTTCACCATTTATTAGTAACTATGTACAATCTAATTCAGAGTTACAGACATCTTAGGGACAATGGGAAGCAGCAGCAACAGACCAGTTAGCTGCTACACGTGATGACGATATTACAGGTACAGCTTTCACATTGTAATGCCGCACACTTCAGTTCAAAATGTTGTTCCATCCAGATATATAACTAACTAAAACAACCTGCTCAAACTAAGAAGGCAAACTGTGAAGATGGACTGGCCAGGCTGAGGAACTTGAAAAACCCTACATGTCCTGTAATATGAAGTAAAACTATCAGATCTTCGCATGTCATTACATGGCAGCTGCTTGTTCTGGCAGATTGGACAAGACATTGTCTTGGTTCACTCTTTAAAATAACAAAAAACTACACAGTTCTGCAACAGTTTCACACAGTTAATGTTTTCAACATATTACAAAATAGTGTATCGATAAATAACTTCAGCCAGCCAGCACTACCATGTGCTCTACAAAATCTAAATGCATAAAGGCTCCAATCCACAATACTCTTTACTATGTCAAGATGGTTTGAACATGCACACATATTAAATCATACTCAGCTTACACAAAAGAATGATGTCAGAATGAGCCTCAATACTTGTAATTTGTGATGGATATAAACTAAAGAATACCTGTATTATATGGAGGGTTCTTGTCCAATTTAACAAAAGTTGGTAAATGATAAAGCATCATTTCTCACTAGGACTGATTTGATCTCCTCATGCAAGGAGCTTTTGCAATATTTAATTAGTCTGACAGAGGTAAAGATGAACTGATCCCCGTTGTACAGTGTCACAAGAAGCACCGAGGTGATGAAAGCGTTATGATTCCACTTGTCACTTCCACTTGCAGCTTTAATCTTCACATGTAAAAATGCCACATCACATTCAGCGACAGGATGAGGTATCAAATAATGAGTCCAGTTGTTAAAGTGAGACTGTTTAAACAAAAAGTCTGACATTTTTGGGAAATAGTTATTTACTTTCTTGTTAAGTAGTTAGATGAGAATATTGACACCACTTTCATGACTGTACCATAAATATGGAGGTACATCTAGCAGCCGCTTAGCTTAGGACAAAGACTGAGGACAGCGATAACGGCTTGCCTTCCTCTGTGCAAGGGAAACAATTTTCATATTTTGTATACAGACACAAGTGATTATCAATCTTTTCATCTAACTCTCTGTCAGAGAGCAAATTGACAAATTTCACCAAATAAATGTTGAACTATTACTTTAAAAGCAGAAATAGTTGTAATAGAAATAATTATCAATAAAATGCACAATTCTCAGTTCAATTCTAAGTTCAATGTAGAGGTTTTGCTGCTTAAGCTTTACTTGGTCTGATATGGCCAGTAGCTACTGTTAGCAAACGTTAGATATTGCTGTGTAATGGAAATTGCTGAGTCAGGTTTGCGGACTTTGACTCTTCTTTACTTCTGTTATATTTATTATTTTGCTGTAATTGTAACTTGTTTGACTGAGGCTAACTTTAAAAGTAGGTAATCCACCGGTTTAACACTTTCTAAACCAGATGACATTTTTTATTCCACGCATTCTTCTTCTTTGACAAAACCTTGCACCTACATTACCCACAACCTGCAAGCAGACAGTGTTCGGGTGTGTTAAGCTAATAGCGGTTTATGTAGCCTTATGCAGAGATGAGGAGCAGGCTACAGAGTTTTTGGTATGCTCACATCTTTCCAACTCGACATACCCAGATTTTTTCATTTTCAAACTTTAAGTCTTTAGCCCTCATGCTGACTCAAGAGACTTCACTGGGGCCATCTGATTTGGCGCTCAAAAGGCTTTTATACAGCCGTTTTCACATATGCAATAGAAATAATGCTCCTGTTCTGGAAGAGCAGAATCTGCAGCTTTGTGGATTGAACTTTGCCGTTTCTTTAGGCTGAAAAACATTTACCTTTAATGTGACGCAGAAGACTGTTCGTTGTAGACATCTTTATGTAGGGAGCTTAATGATACAACCAACAGCAAAAAAAAAAAAAAAAGATTTCACATTTTCCACATAATAAAAATTGAGTGTATTAGGAGGCAATTGTACTTTTTGCAAATAGCAATTTGATTAAAGAAATATTAACAGAAGTTTCATTTACATAAGATTGTTTGGCCCCAATAACAACTATGGGCCAGTGACATCAATTCTGCAAATTTTTGCAATTCACAAAATTTACTTGGATGTTGGGAAAACAAGCTTTACTGCACCCTTAAAAACAATATATTCATGCTGTAGTACCTAGCACCATGTTATCCTCTCTAGACAGGGTTGTTATTTTTTTCTTGACTTAAACAACAGAAGCACACGGGATTCATTTCTTCTTGGCACAACTCCACGATGAAAGAAATGTCCCCCTCTGCAAACTGAATGTCACCACTCCTTCCTGCGCTTGTTTTGACTGTCTTGTGAGGAGAAACGCTGCTGTTGGAAATGTAGAGACTGGCATGTGTAGTGACGGAGAAGCAGTTCGGGTACAGGTCTGAACACTGACGTCTCGTGACTCCCAAAAAGTCTGGAGACATTCATCCAGCTCAAAGATACAATTCATCAACCTTTATGTTGCTCCGATGAGCAGGTTTTTTTTGCCCATGCTGAAGACAAACTGGTGAAATGATGAGTGCTGCTGTTCATGAACGTAGTTCAGTAGGCTTGGGCTGTCGTGCAGCAGGTTGTTTCAGAGCCAAGTCCGAGCGACATATCTAAGAAGCCCTCCGTGTCGGAAAAATATAACTTCCATCTCAGTGTCAAACAGTGCAGTAACGAAGAAGGACTTTCCTTGGCTAGTCTGCAAGACAACAGAGAAACAACTCCTTTACTACATTGTTCATCAAAGTGCCTTTATTAACATGAAACTGCACTGGATTAAGGATATTTTACAGTATCACTCCGCCATAATAAGTGCTTACATATTGTTTTGGTATGAAACTATGTAATAATTTAAGCTTAGCTATAAAAGACAGAATAAATTGGGTGACTGTTTAATGGTTGAGTTAGTGAATACACATTTCCCTAATCAAAGAATACACACTTTTAAATTGCATTAATCTGTATGTTTTTACATTAACGTTGAATAAAATGTGTAATGTGAAAGTGGTCACTCTCACTGATGAAGCCACAGAGCACTATCACCCAAATGTCCAGCTTTACAGAGCTTTTCAGCCTCTTTAACAAAACTGTTTAGGTTTTAAAGCACATTTATTGTATGCTATCACCCAGCAATACGCCAGAATGACTAAGTTAGCCACTAGCTGGTGATGGCAGTCAAACACCTGGCAGCTACATATTTTTCCTCAAGAGTTGCTGTAGACCAAAATACGACAGCAGATGGGATGATTAAGTTGCTTTGTGTCTGATGAGTGTGTATATAAATAATTGTTTGCTATAACAGCTTTATAATGGCGATAATGTCATGCCTTTTTTTTTTGGCCCCATCAAACATTGTATTTTAGTTATATAATTCTTTGGTGTTGACGATAGATCTTTCCACATAGAACATAGATCAATTAATTTTATTTCACCAGGATAATCCACTCAGTATCAGTATATACATTATAAACAAACAGTTAAACAAAAAGACATGTTTCTGATAGTTTGATGAATCAATTAATCTTAGTTTTAGTATCACAGCTCAGGAATGACGGCTTGTTGCCTACCTTGACAGTGAGCTGCTGCCTCGGACTCAGGCTGTCTGGCGCGGTGATGGTGAACCTCTCCTTCCCACTGAGCTCAAGTGAGTCTGCGTTCTGGCCGGGCAGGAACTGGAGCGGCATGATGCCCATTCCCACCAGCTGGTTCTTGTGCAGCTTCTCAAAGCTCTCAGCGATGACCGCACGTACCCCCTGTCAACCCGCAGAGAAGCAGGTAAGCGGCAAAAACAACAAGCGAGGCG